ATCCCCTTGTCTCAGCCCCCTTGAAATTTGAAAGAACTCTGAGGAGATTCCATTAAGGATCACTGCAAGAGAGACTGAAGAAATACAGCCATACATCCAGCCCCCCCACTTTTCTCCCAACCCCATTAGCCTTTGAATCTCCTCCAAGAATCCCCATTCCACATGATCATATGCTTTCTCTATGTCTAGTTTGCACACTAAACCAGGTCTTCCACTTCTTAGTCTTGAATCTATACATTCACTTGCCACCATCACCCCATCTAGAATTTGTCTTCCCTCCACAGAGGCTATTTGTGTTTCCCCCACTACTCCATGAAGTACTTTCTTTAGTCTCATTGATAGAACTTTTTCCAAAAGCTTGTAGGGACTGCAAATTAAGCTTATTGGCCTAAAGTCCTTTATGTTTGTAGCCCCCAACTTCTTCTGTATTAGTGAAATAAAAGTTGCACTTGCTCTCTTATCCACTGTTTTGTTCTCACAAAACTCATGGATCATCTGCATGAAATCATTCTCCAAGAAATGCCAGCATTGTCTTAAGAAGTTGAAATTGAAGCCATGAGGCCCTGGAGCTTTGTCTCCATTTATCCTCTTTAAGGCCTCCTTGACTTCTCCTACTTCAATCTCCCTCTCCAACCACCCAGCTGCCCTTTCACTCAATTTTCTTGATTCTACATCCCCCAAGGATATCCAACACCATTGCCTCCCTGAGTACAGCTTTCTATAGAACCCCACCACTAGCCTTTGAATGCTTTCCCAGTTCTCAGCCTCCTCCCCTACCTGAATTCTTGAAATCAGGTTTCTTCTCTTCCTTCCACATGCAAAGGCATGGAAGAATGTTGTATTTTTATCACCATCTTTTAACCACAAAACCCTTTATTTCTGCCTCCAGCTCACCTCTTCTCTCAGCAGCAACCTCTCTAGCTCCCTCTCCAACCCTTCTTTCTCCAATCTAGCTTCTCTAGGAAATATCTCTCTCTCCTCCTCTAACCTGTCCAGTCTAGCAATCATCTCCAACACCTTTTTCCCACCTTCCTCGTTCCCAATCTCTTCCTATCTTCTTCCCCTCAACTCTTCCTTAAGAAATTGTAACTTTCTCACTACCCTGAAACCAGATGGCCCCTCAACCTGAAAAGATTTCCATTTTTCTTCTGCCCAATCTACAAAGTTAGGTTCAAGCAGCCAAACAGTTTCAAACCTGAATGGCTTCAGACCTGAAATCTGTCCAACCTTCTAAGAATAGCTGGAAATTGGCCGTTTGACCAAGTAAAGTTTCCCCCATTCAAAGGTAGATCAAACAATTCCAAAACATTAATGAGCTCCTCAAGTCTCCTCATCCCCACACTGAATCTTCTCTCTCTTCCCCCTTTCATCTCATTCCTTCTCCTAACAATGTTGAAATCCCCTCCCACATACCATGGACCCCCCAGCTCTGCCTTACCCTTCTCCACTCCTCCCAGAACTCCGCTCTTTCTCCTTCCTCATTCAACCCGTACACATTCGTCAGTCCCCAAACCCACTCTCCATTTGTCTCATGTAAGCAATTTGATACCAAATATCTCCGAACCCACTCCCCAAATGTTTTGGAGGTCCCTAGATCCCATAGTATGACTAAACCACCTAGCAACCCAACCGCTTTCAGCTCCATCCACTCTCCCCCATCCTTCCTCCACAGTTCATGCAACAGATTTATATTGAAGGCCTCCAACTTTGTTTCCTGTAAGAAGACTGCATCAGGCTTCTGTTTTCTTATTAGATTGTGAACCAA